TTATAAAGGTTTTATTAAACTTTACCCACCCCTCTAGAATGGTCATATTGATTCAATATTTTGTGTTTAATCCCACTTAATTTTGTACAAATCTTGATTTTTTGTTAAATTATTGAGTTTTAGTTTTTTATATTTTTTTAATTAAAATTTGTTGATAAATTAGTGAAAATTTAATAGAAGGTTAAAGTTGTAACACCGGAGGGGTGAAATTAAAAGTTTAGGGTGAAAATTTATACAATTTGCTAAATTTAAAAGAGTAAAAATTTGACTTTTTTCCCTATTTTTTTTTGTTCAAATGACCTTTTTCATCAATCACATAGTAATAAAATTGAATAGTATTTTATATTAATAATTATTCTTCTTGTTGGTGGTCAAGATCAGACTCGACACGTGTTAGCAACTACTTAAGTTTAGAGTCATTAGGAGGTAGAAAATGGACCATCCGTACCTGCCGACCTGATCCATGCCGAGTTGAGATGATTAAACCAGATCAACGGACTTGAGGAATTCGACCACCAACCTGAGGGCACGATAGTCGTAATTGCCGGTCGAAACGACTCCAACGGCTTTGTCTCCCCTGCTTATAAAAGGGACACTCCACCCCAGTATCGAGGTATGCAATTCCTTCGAGAATGACTTGATACAGCTTGAACTCACTCTAACTTGCGTCGAAGTGTTTGTTCCTTATGCAGGTTTCATCGAGATCACACCTCGGAGCTCATCCTTGTCAGCTCATGAACCGACTCGTGATCTCGATGGAAAACAACATCAACAGTTCTAATAAAAAATATATTAATATTTAGTTGAAGTGACCTTTTAAATTTTTAATTTGTCATTATATGTTAATCTTAAATAAATTCTTGAGATGAAATTTACTATCATCAATAATACAACGCCAAAGGACTATTGAACTCAAAAGAATGAAGGCATCAAATAACAAATATTTTCGTTCTCATTAATTTCATTCTGATTGTTTTTTATTCTGGTTCATAATCGTTTTTATTCCTACCGTAAAGGCAAAAATTAAAAAGTTTTAAAACTAATTTGAGAGCAGTCTAAAAAGACCACTTTCATTTATATATTAAAAAAACGTAAAAATACAACTTAAAAATAAGGTATTAAATATTGACGTGGATCCAAAATGTTAAAAGATCTCGATTTTATAGAAACAACAATGATATTTCTAGACAAATTAAAAAAATAAAAAAATTTATAGAAAATATATATATTTAGAAAAAAGTAAAAATACAACTTAAAAATAAGGTTTTAAATATTGATGTGGATGAAAATGTCAAAGATCTCGATTTTATGGAAACATCAATGATATTTTAGACAAATTAAAAAATTAAAAAAGGTATAGCAAATATATATATATATATATATATATATATTTTTTTTTTTTTGCAAAGGGACATTTTGTGTTTAATCACACTTAATTTTGTTCAAATCTTGATTTTTATTAAATTATTGAGTTTTTAAAATTTATAGCAAATATCAAATTAATGTATAAACATTTTGGGGCAAATTTCACCAATAATGTAATTTTATAAAAATTATAAAAATAGAATACCTCTAAAAGTAATTATAAAATAAATGTAAATGAAATTTAAAAAAATCTAACATTAGGAAATATGTACCAAATATGGCAGTTTACTGTAAATAATCACATATGTTCCGGTCCTGACATGTCATTGTATCGAACACATCAAGACATTAAATATAAGGAAAAATCGATCCCAACATATCACCGTATCGACCACCTCAAGATATTAGATATATGGAAAATTTGATCTTCCCAAAATATTAGGATGTGTTTTGGTATTTTCACATATGTGTTTGGTAGTATATTTAGAAATTGAATCTCAATTTAAAAACTTGTTCAACTATGTCCTGTAATATATTTGTAAACTAGTAGGAATTATTGACTAAATATTTAATAATCTAAAATAATATTTATTATTTTTATTATAATTTTTGTTATTATTTTATACAACCGATAACCAAAGTATCAGAGCAAGCATAGCTAAGGTACTGTTAGTTTAATCCTCCACCCTACATGTTGTACTAAAAAAAATTTATAGAATTAATATATAATATTTTACATGTTTTAATTTAAAAAAATTAAATGAGTTTATAATCTTCTAGCTTATATTAAAATTTTAATCTTAATGTAATTCTACGTTTTAAAATTTTAAATTTAAAATAATAAAAACATAAATAATATTGTTTTCAAATTTCCATTATTTAGATTTGAGTTCTGATTTTTTTTTTAATACTGCTCTCTTGGAAACTTATTACAACTATATATCAACCCCCAAATTATTTCAAAAAATAATGCTTTTTAAATTGTAGGTCGTCTTTTATGTCACCTCACGCTTCCCTAATTTCATGGCGCTTCGCTGGCGCCATATATATTTTTTTAAATTCTGACATATGCATATAATAGCAGTGTTGATACTCTGCTACAGTGATTGTTCTCTTACCTTTTAATCTAGATGTCTTGGGTTCAAATCTCAATTATATCAAAAAAAATTAATTACTATTAAAATTATATTATCAAAACAACTGCTAATTCTAAAAAGAAATTATGAATAAAAATATATTGTTTTTAAGAAAAAGATAGTAATTACATTTTTTTATAATAGTAATTATTGTTGTCTATTTTTAGAATCCGTTGTTATTTTATTTTAGGAGAGAAGATAAATTTTAATAAAAATAATAATTTGCAATATAAGAATGAAAAGTGACATAATTAAGACTTGAACCCAAAACTAGAATAAAAAGTAATAGAACAACCACTATAACAGAGTATCAACATTATTATTATTTGCATATGTCGTATCTTAAAAAGATTACATGCCATTATTAAAAACAAATCTACAATTTCGAAAGCATTATTTTTTGAAATAGTTTGAGAGTTGATATATATTTGTAATAAGCATTATTAAAAAAAAAAAAAAAAAGTTTATCCGAGTTCTCGTGAACATTTCACAATATCCCAATATTTTGTCGAAATACTCCATTTTTACTCAAGTCTAGAATCAAGCCCAAACATTGTTACTAGTCTCAAATTCAAGCCCAAAACTGGTCAGGCCCAATCTGACATACGGCCCTGCATGATTAAAAAAAGGGGAGAGGATGCCTACATTTCCCTATAAATATTACTATTATTTTTATCTCCGATGAATAAAAATGATGAATTATAGTTTTAATTAAATCATTTTATTAAATAATTTTAGTAAATTTCTAAAATTTTAAATTAAATCATTTCATTAACTAATCAAATAATTTCCATAAATTTCTAAAATTTGTACTGAGATTTTCATCAACATCCATATTCAGAGGCGATTTCTCGTATATGGTAGGCGATTTCTTTTAAATCGATTTCCGCCGATTTTCATCTACACGATCTGGAAGCCACGATCTGGCAGCTAGAATTTTTATGAAAAATAATAATAATAATAATAATAATAAACATTATTTTATAAAATAAAAAGAAATCCCAAGATTTCTACCATTTTCTTCTCTTTTCTTCTTGCATTTGCATCATTTTTATATTTTATGGCGTGGGCAAATGGCAACCGGCAACTGTGGGTGGTAATTTTCCCTTTGTGAATTAGGTAATAAAAATAAACCCTTCCGTCTTCTCCTTTTTTTTTTTTTTTCCCACAAATCCTAACCCTTCCTTCACCACCAAGTTTGCCGGCCACCCTTCCCTTTTATATTTCAACACAATATGGAGAGATTTTCTCTTTTTAACAGAAGCAAAAGTGGGTGCGACGATTTTTGACAGAGAGGAGAAAAACCTTCGTGCTGGCCATTTTTGGCAAGGCGGAGAACAAACGAGTTAAGAGATCAGTATAGTGTTGTCGGCGGTTGGGAGGTTTTCATTTTTTATGTTTAAGTAGCAGTGCTTAGAAATTAGGTGACTATTGTTGTAGCATCTAGGTGAGTACAGCAAATAGAAGTCATTGTAATCTTCCCAATATACTGAAAGTAGCCTCGAATTTGGGGCGAACCAATATATTTTCTAGTGTTTGTTTTTCTATTCCTATCTCGCATTTCCTTTATTATAAATTAAACTGTGATCTGCTCCCTTATGTAAAAGGAGAAAATTATGGATAGTATTTTTATATACTATATATTTTTCCCAACAACTAGTATCAGAATTTTTGGTTTGAGTTATGGGATTTGGTGAGCAGTCAAGTTTTTGGTTTAAATTCGGAGATAAGAATTTGAAATTTGCAAAAATTTATGATGCTGCAATTGTTGAGAAAATTTGCAGGAAAGAAAGTGGGAAAAAATAATCCACCTCTGGTTTTGCATCTGGCTCAGAATGGTGAAATTGAATGTTATTGTTGCCACAATAAGGGCTACTAGAAATTTTTACAAGTGAAAGAGAAAGATAGCACGTGGATGCTCTTCCAATGTAATGAAGGCGGTCTAGAAGCCTTCTTAGAAGGTGATGAATTTCTATTAGGTATATATCAGGATAATTGATGTTCAATAAGTAAAAGAGTWAGAAAGTTTCCTTTTTCATTTGTTAGATTATGTTAAAGCAGGAAATCTTATCGTATAGAAGGAAGAAACACTTCATCTAATCAATCCAGCACTTCAAAATCAAATGAATGATTTCTATATTTTATTGTCAAGATCCAAAAAGTCCTACCTTATCTAGATGGGTGAAAAAGTCTTCTATGGTTTAAAAGATTAATGGATATTATTTTCTATATAAAATAAATAAATAAATAACAACACTTGATAATTTTTTCTCTTCCTATTCCCCTTTGAATTTAAAACTTAAATACTTGACTAGCTTTGCAAACATAATAGTTATGGTAGTCTTCTATTTGCTAAACTTCTTATATCACCGAAATGATATGGTGCCAAAAGTATTGAACAAGTTTCTATTTAGACAAGCATCTTAATTTATTATTTCCAAGGTCTGATACAAGAGTAAGGAAATTTAATGCTACAATTCTACTCCATAATCTCATCACTTAAATAATTTTGCTTTATTTGATTGCAAAGTAAATTCACAATAATTTTAGCATATGATTTCTCCACCAAATGTATTCAAATAGATCACTTTTTGTAAAGGAAAAAAGTTCCCCAACTCATAACGGGAAACAAAATCAAATCCTCATGATTAGTCCATACCAAGGAAAGTCTACGCCTACCAAAAAGCAAAATAGGACGAATACGTAAGATACTAGTACTTAATGAATTACCATGCATGTGACGTATCAAACACAACAAGGATGTATTTTTGGAAAATAGTGTTTTTAATGCTATACATATGAGTATTTTAATTTATAAATATCATTGAAAATTGTTTTTCAGTTTACAATATTTTTAATATAAAAAACATGATGAAATATGCCATACTAGCTTCAAGAAGTTGAAGACACTTAAAAATTACCTATTTTTAATGATACAGCCATTTTATATCAAAATATTAGAAAAAACAGCCAAAGCCAACATAACATTTTCTTAAATTTCAAAAAATAATAATAATAATAATAAAGAAACATAACATTCTTCTAAATGTTTTCATCTTATTTTATCTAAGGTCAACAATACTCGTATTTCGTATAAAAAGAAAATACTTAAATTTATTTATATGCTTCAAGAACAAATTTATCAAAATAAATAAATAAATGAACAAAAGATGGAAGAGTTTAATTCAAACATTCAATAATTATTTTACAAATAAGTGTCTAATACTTGGCGAATAAATATTTGACAGTAACAGTGTTTTGATAATATCTATTGTAGCTCCACACATATTTAATAAATAGCAAAATATTATCAGAAAACATCCAAATTGAAGGCCCATACTTCCTTGCGTAACTAGCTAGAGAAAAGTAATATTTCAGCAACTAGGGAAAGAAGTGTGAACAGGGTAATGGATATTGACAATCAACTTGAATGAAGTCAGCAGGAAAGAGAGACAAATATGGCATATAGTCATGAAGTTTGATTCAGGAAGAGCATCGCAAAGGAACAAGAAAGAGCGCAAACAACGAGAAACCTTTTCATTACTGAATGTCCCATGTCAGTTGACACAAAAGTCGAAGTCACCAAATCTTCCTCCAGCAGAAGAAAAGACAAATATGGCATGCTTACATTGCACCTCAATTAATTTAATGGTTAACATTCACTTATTTGATTATCAAGAAAATACATAGAAAATTATTTTTAGATGGATGGTTATCATGAAGTTTGAATTCAATTCCCTCTCAATCTTTTGATTTACCTTAATCCTTTTAGACCAATCAACCTCTGAATAGTTCAAGGAAATCTTTTGGATTGACAACTATAAATTTTCTTTTTTTTTTTTTGTTGGTAATGATGTCTATTATGGGTGAAATAAAGCTCTAATTCACAAACAAAGTACAAGAAAGCCAGATAAGCCGGTTCCAAAAGAATGACTCCACAACCATAAGCCTTATGAATCATGTACATGAGCCACACGAATCAAGACTAGAGGTAGAAATCAATGAATCGAGCCTTGAAAAGCTTAGCCCTCTAAACGAGATCTTGAAGGCTAGGGCTTGTTAGGCCTACCAACTCTTGGGCTATACCTTGAAGGCTAAGGCCCATAGGCAAGCTCGATCTAAGGGCTAAGGCCGCCCATAAACCGACACGCCCACAATATAGCTCCGAGATCTAAGAGATTCAAAAGAAGATAGTCGAGGAATATGATATTATTTACTTCTATAAAATAGAGAATATAGATCTAATCAAAGTATACTACAAACTCCTAACTTTTACTACGACTCACACAAATTCGGTTCTAACTTAGTATCGGGTGTGTGTGACTAACACATGATGGATTGAGTAAATTTAATGGAGAAAAAATAACAATGCAGGGGTTTGAACACATGACCTATTGTTTTGATACCATGTTAAAAATGAATAAATCATAACTCAATTCAAAAGCTTAAGCTGATGAGTTGGATAAATTTAATTGTAAATATCTCAACAAATGCCAATAGACATTGAAGAAAAACATGAAAACCACACAAATTTATTCAAGATTAAACTAATGCTACGACATTCATAATTGATTTAACAAGGTATATCACATCATTTCTTAATTTTTAAGATAACATACATAATTTAGTAGTTGATTTTAAGAAACATAATTTTGAATTCAGTTACATGTAGAAGTAAAAATTACCTCCTTTCAATCGAAGACGTATTTATTTAATTAGTCTAACCCATGCCATACTTATATATGATTTTTCCCGTATATTTAAGTAGTTGTTATTTTCAATAAAAAGTGTTTTAAAATTATTTTAATTAATTTGTTCTTTGTCTTATTTCCTCATTGGTAATCTTATCACGAGACGGACGGAAGCCAAAATTTTACAGAAGAGACAAAAACTTTACATATATAGCCAATCAATCCCAAGAATTTTAGGAAATAAATCAAATGGAAAACTTTAAAAACTGAAGTATTTATATATTTTGAATTTGGGTTAAGTGGGACAATTGACTCTCTCTTCACTCATTCCTTTTTTTTGGTCTACCTCCAGTCTAGTTTGACGTCGGCACCTAACAAATATATTAAAAACTAGAGCAGAAATGTAACAAAATTACTTATTTATAAAAAGTTTATAATATGAAGACTGAAAGATATCATTTAATAAATATATAAAAACGTTTAGGACAAATTACATAAACCATCCCTTAAATTTTCAATGGTAGAAATTAAATTTTAAACTTTTATAGGTGGAAAAATTGGATTCCTAAACTTTAAACAATAAAAATTAAACTTCAAAATTTCCTGAAAAATTTGAAATCTTAAATTTTAAATTATAAAAATAAAATCGTTATAATTTAAAAATTAGATCTATTTCTCTCCGGATTTCCTCTTTTCTCTCTCCATTTCCCATCTTTCTACTTTTCTCCTATCCCCTCCATCGCAGTTAAGAAACTGTCGCGTCTCGGCTTTTCCTCTTGGTTTCCAAAATCTCTCTCCCAACTCCAGAACTCCATTTTCTCAAAATTCTTCCCCTCAATCACCTTCATCGTCCAAGAATCTCCGCCACTCTCTGCCACTACTCAATTTCCCAGCTGCAAAACCCATATTCTCCCTCTCCCTCCTTCCGGCAGAATCCAAGTCCATGGATAATTTCCCTTTTCAGAGTGAAAGTTGTGGGTGAATTCGGGTAAACAGACAGAAAGAAACCAGTTAATGTTTTGTTTTTAATACACAAAATTTCCTTCAACTGCTGCCCCAAATCTTCTCTATAGCTTCTTGATCACGAAGGGAGGGAGAGGAGAAAGTAGAAAGAGGAGGAACATTAAGAGAAAAAGTAGAGAAAGGAAGAAATGTAGAGAGAAATAGAGTAAAGTCGAACTATTTATTTAAAACTTAAAAAGTTTCATTTTTACAATTAAGAAATTAAGGGTGCAATTTTCTCACATGAGTTTGAGGGTTAATTTACAGAGCGGACAAATCGCCTAAATTCATCAATTATCCAATAACATCTCTCCGACGCAAACAAAAAAGTAAGTGGTTTGTTGAAATGCATTTTCTAGCTGGGACAAAGGACGGAAATAATCCTGAGGAAAAGAAAGTGGGGAAGGAGGAGAGAAGTATACCAATTCCAAAAGAAACCAGAGCGAAAAAATCGTCGGAACTGGAAGGCTAAATTCTGTCCATTTTCATAGAAAATCTCTCAAACAGCAAACAGAAAATTAAAAGTTTCCCGAGAAAATCTTATTCGTCACTATCAGAGACGGAGGAGGTAAAGATTCCAGAAGACATCAGAGGTAGGAAGAAAAATGCGGCTAAGACTATGACCAATTTTCCGAGAAAATATCTTCGAAGAGCAACAGAAACAAACAAAAATGCAATAGCTCCTAGTTCACGGTTTAAAAGAATTGAAAGGGCCATACTTTTCTAGACGAACTAACTACAGAAAAGTAACAGTTCAGCAACTAGCGAACAAAGAAGTGTGAACAGAAGCAGGAAAGAGCGACAAACATCCACAAAGGACCAAGAAAGAGGGGGAAAAGTCTCGCGACTACCATACCATAACGAAAATGACGGACTCCACGTCATTTTTAATACAATAATGAGATAGCAAGTAGTAAATAGAAAAGAGTACTCTTGCAATACTAGAAATTGAATATTCATGTCGTTTGAACATACGCAAAAACCAGATAAATAATAGTATGTTACCTAATCATAGAAAAAGAAAAAGGCTAGTCGTCCTTAATTTTTAAGTCTTAATCTTCTAATATTTTTAATTTTATAATTATTAAGACAGATAAGAATCTAATAATGATAATCAAAATCTATTTCTTCCGACTAATATGTCTATGCAATTTAAAAACATGCCAGTTTTCATTAACATATTTTACCTAACTTAATAAAAAACTTTTAAGACACTAATGGATAAATCTTAATGTTCAAATAAAAAATCACCTTATAAAATTAGAACAATATGCTATATTTAACCAAAACCATCAGGGTTGATTTCCATCCCTTCAACTTTATTGATGTAGATTAAATTTTTAATTCTTTGAAATAAAAGTTCTACAAAAATATTTTTAAATATAATTTTCTAGTTTTCTTTCAATGTATTTTTGTGGGTGACCAAATTTGTTAGCATGAGTAAAACAAATATTTTCTAAAGGAATTGCTTAGGTGCCAACTGCCTAAGTTCTTTCCTTTACAAAATAATAAATTTGAAAATGATCTTACTCCCTATAACAGTGACAATTCCGTAAAAACATACTTTTGATTTCAAAGAATGATTACTTTTCTTATGTTCTTCAACTGAGTCCTCACACATGATTAAATTATTTTAATAAACAAAAAAGTTATTCCTTCCAAAATCATAAATTTGTGAATAGTAATTCCAATTCAAATTATTTAATATTTATCATGTCTAATCTTTTATCATTTCAAAATTTTCAATTCTACTCCTAATCTTTAGTTTGTTTTAAAAGATGCTTGTTTGCAATTTCTGTTAAAATACCTTATGAAAATTAAAAGATTGAAGGTAAAATTAAAAATTTTAAAATGCCAACGGAAAAATTGAAACTAATTATCATTTTATATAATTTAGTTTCAATTTTACTTCAAAATTCAAATCTATGTAAATGGTTCTAATCTTTGTCTCTAAGATTTTAAAAGTTTTCAACTACAACTAAAATTGCAAATGTTTTTGTAAACAATAAAAAGATGGGAGTAAAATTGAAACCATAACAGGATATATAAAGGGCATTTTGCCTAATTTAACTTAATTTCAATATACAATATAAATGAAAACTATTTATAACAAAAATCGTGATTTGAAACAGAGTGTCATTTTTAAAATAGTTGGTTAAATAACCTAAAAATTTCGGTGCAAAACGTAGAACAGTCACTCAATAATATCAAATTACTGTTATGAAACCTAACTATAAATAGCCAGGGAACAAATTTGGAAACCTATGAATGGCTTTTTTTTAACAAGGAATTTAAACCTCTAGTCGATTGAGGACAAATATCTTATCAATTAAGTTAAGTTCAAATTGACTTATCTAACTTTAAAAAAATTAAACAAGAATGTCACTAGATGTGCAAAAAGCACGAAACCACACAAATCCTATTCAATATTGACTTAATACTATGACCTCCACAATTGCTTTTTTAAGGTATATTACATCCTTTCTTAAATTTTAAGATAAATATACATAAGTTCGTAATTGATTCTAAAAAAATATATAATTTTGAAGTCAACCTGAACCTAACTAAGGCAAGTCACTCCAACTAAAAGGTCAAAGATTTGAACTCTCAATATGTAAGTTAAAAATATGTGGATTGAAATTTCGAATTTCTACCTTTTTAGTCAAAAATATACACTTTAATTAATTGATGTTATGAAAAATATAATTTATTTAGTTGGTCTACAAATATTGAAATATAAAGTACATAATTTATTTAAGCAGTTGAAATCTTCAATAAAAACTTTTGTAAAATTATTCTTTTTAAATCTTCGCAACCTATCAATGTGTTTTTTTTTGTCGTATTTCCTCATTTGTAATCTTATCAAGAGACGGACACAAGCCGAAAACTTTCATAAGAGACAAAAGCTTTACCTTCTAAATTTATACATACATAGCCAATCAATCCTAGGTATTTTAGGAAATAAATTAAATGTAAAACCTTTAAAATCTGAAGTATTATATATATTTGAATTTGGGCTAAATAAGTGGGACAATTGAATAACTGACTCTCTCTCAAATCCATCATTCCTTTTTGGCTCTACCTTCAGTCAAGTTTGATGTTGACACCTAACAAATATATTAAAAACTACAGTAGAAATGTAATATAAATTTATTTAGTTATAAAAGGATTTATAATATGAAAAATGGAAAAAATCATTTTAAAAATATATAAAAATTCTCTCCCCTGACTGTCACAGTTTTGTAAATTATATACTTTTATGTAAGCAGCTATAAATTTAGTCAATCACACATATGCTGCAGAAAACACGTAAATCTTGAGCAAGAAACCAGGGACGAACGTTAGAAAGATTCCGGAAGCAATCAGAACGGAAAAATCGCCGGAAGACTAAGTCCATCTATTTCCGAGAAAACCTCTCAGAAAGCAAACAGAAAATCGACTCGCATTAATTTTCTTCTTCTACACCAGGGACAAACGAGGGCTATAATCCTGAGGAAAAGAACTAGGGCCGGAGAAGAGAAGTAGTCCAGAAGAAATCAGAGCGAATAAATCGCCGGAAGACTAAGTTCTATACATATTTTCCTAGAAAATCTCTCAAATCCAAAAGATATTCGGCTTGCATTTTCTTATTCGTCACTATCAGAGACGGAGAAATCAGAGGTAGCGAAGAAAACGCGCTACGACGACTACGACCAATTTTCCGAGAAAATCTCTCCAAAAGAGCAAACAAAAAACAATAGCTCCTAGTTTGTGGTTCAAAAGAAAATCAACTTGCACTATGTTCATCGATATATCAACAAAAACAGTCGGAGATTGAAGAATCGGAGAAAAGAAGAAGAACCGTACCTATTTCCGCTGCAATACTCCTCGGTTGGTGAAGACGACGAGTCTGAGCTCAACGTCGCAGAGAACAGAGATCGCGAGCCTTCTTGATGATTCCAGATCTTCTCTTGCAGAAGGTCACATAGCGATTACAGCTATCTTCGATTCGATTCTCTTCACATCGATCTAGTTCCGTCCCATTTTCTCCTCCGCAGTCTCCAGTGTCGCCCCACTGTGAACCCTAATTCCCCTTTCCCTCCTCGCTCTTCTTTTACCTCAATCCAAACGAATCACAAAACGCAGGCCGTTTTGGTCGTCTTTCTTTCTTTCCTTCTTTTTTTCTTTTTTCAAGCGAGAGCCTAATTACCAGCGGGGCGATAAACACAAAAAAAAAGGAAAATAAAAATAAAAATTGAGGCTCATTTTCGTGCTGCCACGTGTCGCGTTCTGGTGAACCGAGTTGTTTCTTGTGGCTGAAAAGTCCTCACGAGTCGGAGTCACGAACTTTGTACCTTTTTTAAAAAAATTAAAAAGAATTAAAAAGAAATAGTATATTAAAATGTACGGTAAAGAAATAGTATACTGTACGACTCAATTCTAGCCGCATGTTTTGGAGGCGTTTTGTATAGGTTTAATTTTACAAATATTTTTTCACTTTTGGTGAAAATGCAAATAACCAGCGTCGTTTATTCAAAAGAAGATTAAAAAAGTTGACACGTCAACTCTGCCGTGGCTTTTGCTAGTCTATGTGTCACTCAAAATTTTATAAACTCATCGAAATTTTAAACTTTTTTTTTATTAAAATAAAATTCTCTCCTTAAATTAAGAAAAGATAATATTTGCACCAACGTTTAAAAAATTAAATCCAAAGAAAGAAAGAGAAGATGATGTTTGAATGTGAGCATTTAATAGTTTACACTATTTATGATTTAGTCTATTTGCAATATAGACGACTATAGAACACTTGTTACTCTCAACCTAATCAGTTTCTCTTTAATTTCATTATATAAATTCAAATTATATTTTTAGGGTCCATATCTATTTAAGCTATCAGTGTGATTGATCCAACAAGTATCAAGGGCTTTCGGTAGACTTCTTTCATTTCTGAATTAGCTTGCAACAAGTCCTAACATTAGTATGAGTTCGTTGACTGTGTAAGGACAATCCATAACGAATCCCAATTCCCAGAGATGCACAAATCAAATCAATTTCTTATGTTTGTGCTTCACCTTTCGATCCCTGCATTTTAGCCCATTTTTCGAATGCCTCACTTTCTTATTTACCTTTCTCTCAAATATCCATTTCCATAACAAAAAATTCCCACAACTATTTGATTAATGTTACTGTACCCATAACTACCTCATATATGTCAGAAAAGTTACCTAATCATGAATTTTATATATACTTATCTAATATATTTTTGTATGGTTGTATGGTGCTAAACCATTAATTTTAATAAGAATAGATAGTATATGTAGCATATACCTAAAATATACTTAAAAAAATATATCGCCATTTCAAACAAGTATTCTCGTTATCACAGAGCAAAAAATAAGGTATATATTCTCCCTGAACTAGAAAATAAAAAATAGATTCATTGAAAAGGAACACTACTTCCGTTTGATATATTATGTAATTTATTTGGTCTAACATTGGCCATGTCTCCAAACAGTCTTGTGTAACAAGTCAAGCTAGTCGGTATACCAACTTTTGGTTAAGATCTTTCTTCATAAACACACATTTTGTTGAGGAGCGGGAAACGTCCCACCACTCGCTACTCGATGAAGCCGACACGAAGTACAACTCAAGAAATCCAAAGTCGATTAGATGCCATCGTCCATAGCGAATCAGTCGGTTTTGGGAGTAATATCTACCTACACAATTTCTTGACCGCTTGCTTGCTACTACGCATAGTGCTCCTTAACTTTTGTAAAAGATATCATGGACAGTTACAATCTAGCCATTAGACGTTTATAAATATCTAAAGTAAATTTATCTCTAGGTATGTCTGAATACATATATTATTTTGAGAGTGAAATAATTACTTTGAGAATGAAATAGCCTAGACCTATATTAATTTGAGCGTCATATATAGTACTCATTGCAAGTCAATTACCCTTCAGATTTGTCACTAGTTTAGTAAATTTTGTGCTCAAACATGTTTCTAATATTTGGATATGTGTTCTGACGATGAGGGTCCTAACGAACACCTACATACAAGAGAAATCTGCAACTAGTATGCTGCTAAGTCCAATACACTCAAATGTCTAATTAAATTAGTAAAGTGTTTCATTAAAAATAGTAGAAGTATATTTATGCTAACGTCTCTCGAACCTAGCTAGATCTCTCCTTCAATTTATAGAGAGAGTTTTATTGGATCGATTTGGGTAGATCAACTCTGAATCTTGTCGGTGGTTACCACCCAGGTGGTTTCACCCGAGTGATTTGCTTCATAGAATAATTTCACCCATGACATGCTTCCATCTATTGCCAAGGATACGTTCTCCAGTACACCAAACGCGTCATTTGACTGAGGAATGTCATTCCTATGTTGCTATTATTTTAATTCTGAATTTTAATGATACCGAAGAACAATAAAAATGATAGTTTAATAATTTAGTCATGCATAATTATAAAATTAAAAATATTAGAAGATTAAAACCGAAATTGACCTGAAAATTAAAGGATGGTTAACCTTTTTCTTTTCTCTTAAAAAGATTAGATAATAACATACTATTATTGACATTTTTTTAAAACACATACTATTATTTGACTTCGAATCGAAAAATGTTATGTTTAATATTTTTTTAGTTCAACAAAGATAAGATGAAAGATTGAACCTTAGACCTTTACAGAAATTAACAAATATGTTAGCATGTTATGTTCATAATATTAGTCATGAATGTTTTTTTTTAATATTTAGATTAAAACATCTTATTATTAAAAATAGGTAATTAATGACTCATTTGGTAATGTTCATGTTTATCATATTTTTTTGTAATTCATCCCCTTTTATTTCTAAATTTTGAAAAACGTTCCAAAAAATAGATTAAATTATGAAAATTACAAAAGGAGTTTCATTCCTCCCTTTTCCATTTCATTTCTTTTCTTTCCTTTTTCTTTTTTTTTTTTTAATTTCTGTGTCTAGAGATAGCCTCAGATTAACTGGTGTTCCTAATTAGTTAATTATGGATCTTTGGGTTGTTGGTTCAAGCGTGTGGATTAATTTCATGTTCCCCGCCACGGCGCAAGTTCAAATTTCAACAAAATTATTGTTTTTTTTTATATATATTTTCTTCAAAAATATATTTTTGTTATATTTTAAAATTAAAAATATTTGAAAATTTGTTTTTTTAAAGTTATTATATTTTCTTAAACAAAAATATATTTTCTATTTTTTCTGCAAAATGCGATTTTTATATTTTCTTAAAAATATATTTTTTTTTTCTATTTCTTATATTAAAAATATTTTGAAAATTTATTCTTTATTTAAAGCTGATAGTTTTTTTACTTTTATATTATACAATAAACAAAATGCTAATTTTCTTTAAAAAAATATTTTGAAAATTTACTATTTATTTAAAGCTAATCATTTTGACTTTTAAATCAAAAAAAATTATATTCTAAATTATATTATCTTTATATATTATATCTACTAAATTTTATTTTAACTAAAAAAACAAACAACTTGAATTAAGGCATATATCTTCAATTAAGAGGGCATGAGTTTGAATCTCAACTCCCACCAGTTGCTGTACTAAAATAAAATAATAAACAGAAAATAGTTATTAAACATATTTTTGTTTCTATTTTTTTTTTCAAGAAACAAGAAACAAGAAACATAACTAGATATCATACGTATTTCAATTTCTTACTGTAAAAAGAATTACAAATAAGAAATAGGTTGAAAACAAGAAGCGATAATATTATCAAACGGCCCAAAGTTTCTATAACCATGAAGTACATGACATATTTCATCTTTTAAATAATTATTGTAAACTGAAAACAATTTTCAATGATATTTATAAATTAGAATACTCATATATAGTATTAAAAAACTATATATTTGAAAGATGCATCCTTTGTTGTGTTTGATATGTTACATACATGGTAATTCATTAAGTTCCAATATCTTATCTATTCCTAGTCCATATCCGGTGTTTTTTGGGTAGGCGTAGACTTCCCTTGATATGGATTGGACTAAGCATGTATGCTTATACAATGATATTACTTAGGGTCCGTGGTAACGTTTTTGATTTTTGGTTTTATGTTTTCAAAAACAAAAATTGATAACCATTTTTTGTTTTTAAAAAATAGAAAACTAAACATGTTTGGTAACCCTTTTTAGTTTTCTGTTTTTAAAATAGTTAGAAAATTGAAAATACATCAGAAAGAAAATTTTATGTAGGGTAGAGATGACAATGACGGTAGGTGTGAGTGAGAATGCTCTCCTCCATTCTCGTATCCTTAAAAATTTTTAGTCCCTGTCTCCACCTCGTTCTTCGGTCGAGAAATGTTCTCGAGAAAAATTACCGGTTTTATAATTGTTTTTAATTATTTTTAGAATTTAAGTATAAAAAAATGTAATCAATATATATTAATTATTTAAAAAATGAAATCGGGGTCGGGACATGCATTTCCTATTTTTGGGACGCGACATGCAGAAATTTTTGTCATCCTCCAATGTAGAGACATTAAAATATAAGTTTAGAGAATGTAAATAAAGTTTTGGAAGATAAATTTTAGAGAGATAAATAGAAAGATTTAGAAAAAAGATAGTGAAATAAAAGTTAAAAGACAAAAAGAGAAAAATTTTAGAGAAAAAAAGTAAAGTCGACGGGAAAAGATATGTTAAAGAAAAAAAAATTATAAAGAAAGAGAAAAAATTATAGTAAAAATAAAATTAGAGATAAAAACAAGATTCAAAATATAATTTTTAGAGAAAATAAATAAATACAGAGATAAATAAAAATTACAGAAAGAAAATTGAAAAAAAGATATAGTTTTTAGAGGAACAAATATATTATAGACATAGTGAAAGGTTATAAATGACGAAATTTTAGAGAAACGAAAGTTTAAAAAAATATTAAATTTTTTTAGAAAGAATGAAACTGACCTGTTACAAAAAAAATACATAAAAATTTGGAGATTGATAAATAATAATAAATATTCAAAATATGAAATGAGAGAGAAATAAATTTTGTAGAGAGAAATTTAGAAAGAAAAAAAATGTTAGAATGAGAAATAATTTTTTTAGAGATAAATATGAGAAAGAACAAAAATAAAAATTGAGTATTAGAAGAAAATATACGATTTTGAAAAACAGAAATCTGTTTTTGAATTTTTTTTTTTAAGTTTACATAAATTTTTAAAATAATTTTAAAAAAAAAAATAGAAAATTGAATTGGTTATCAAATTGTTTTTAAAAAATGGTTATTTTAACAACCAAATAAAGCAACTCATGGAATAGAATTGTAGAAGTTCTTTCATTCTTGCATTATACGAAAAATTTCTTCGATATGCTTTTGGCACTTTGTAATTTTGGTGATCTTAGAAGTTTAGAACATAGAAGACTATCATAGTTATTATATTATTTATTATTGGCCAAGGTGGTCAACATTAGAGTCTTAAATCCAATAGTAAATAGAAAGAGACAAAATTATGAGCGATATTCATTGATCTTTTAAACCTTTTACCCCTCTAGATCATATAAAAATATAGAAATAATTTTTTTTTTTTTTTTAAGAAAGAATAGTACAGCTGGATTGATTAGATAAAGAACTTCCTATCCGAAGAAAATTTCATTTCTCTAGAATATAAGAAATTCATGCTTTCTTCCTAACTTTCCAACTCTTTTTACTTATTCAAAACATCAATATATTTATGGTCAGTCTGCATTCTTAGCTTAGATAAAAGATGGTAGTGTAATTAAATCGTAGGATGCAGGAAATATCGAGGTAGTTAGGCGTCAAATTCAGATTCCAAATTTTGATCACAATCCTTAGGTTGGGATATTACAAATGGATTATTAATTATAATTTCATTAGTATACGATACATTCTAGACTTAGCTACTAATTGCAGAATTGAGATGCTTTAGGAACTCGAAAACGCCTTAAATAATATTAGGGCAGAGATTGGACTTGCATTGAGAGTGCTCATCATGACAAGAGATTTCTTAAGTTTAGCCGGGTAAATTAGCCCAAATACTCACCAAACATAAATAAGAGAAATAAAGAAAATTATACTAAATAACATAAAATAAAAATGTGTTTATTTTTTTTAAATGTCATCAAAGTAATTTTTTATTAGTTTCATATAACTGTGTAAATTTGCAATTTATTTATTTATTTTTTAATTTAAATCTAATGTTATATATAAAAAATATATAATTTTCTGTGTTATTTTTTGTAATGCATTTATATTATATTTTATTAATCATTCTTGTAATAATCTGCATATGCCAAAATTTTATCTTTCAAGGACACTCGATAATTTTTGTTGAAAGAAAAGAGACAGCATAAAGATTTCGATTATTTTAAGAAACTTTATGAACAAGTGACACGTAGACTAGCAAAAGCCACGTCGGTGATGACGTGTCAATTTTTTGGTCTCTTTTGAATAAACGACGTTGGTTATTTGCAATTTTCACCAAAAGTTAAAAAATATATATATAAAAAATTAATTTTACAAAACGCCTCCAAAACATGCCGTGAGAATTGAGTCGTACAATATACTATTTCTTTTTAATTTTTTTTAATTTAAAAAAAGGCTCACAGTGCGTGAGGCTTCGCAGCCACAAACAACTACTCGGTTCACCAGAGCGCGACACGTGTCAGTACAAAAACGCGCCTTTTTTATTTTCTTTTTCCTTTTCTTTTTTCCCTCAAATTATCGCCCTCGCTGGTAAATGGTTATTCGGCTCTGGAAGCAAAAGCAAGGGGAAAAAAAAAAAAGCGGACTTCGTTTGGATGGAGATAAAAGAAGAGTGGAGGGAAAGGGGATTAGGGTTGACAGTGGGGCGAAAATGGGACGGAAGAAGATCGAGGTGAAGCGAATCGAAGATAGCTGTAATCGCCATGTGACCTTCTGCAAGAGAAGATCTGGACTCATCAAGAAGGCTCGCGAGCTCTCTGTTCTCTGCGACGTTGAGCTCGGACTCCTCATCTTCACCAACCGTGGCCGCCTCTACGAGTTTTGCAGGGGAAATAGGTACGCTTCTTCTTCTTCTTCTTCTTCTTCTGCTTTTTCTTCGATTCTTCAATCTCTGACTGTGTGTGTTGATTTATCCATGAACATACTGCAAGTTTAATTTCTTTTGAATCACGAACTAGGAGCTGCTATTGCGTTTTTGTTTGCTCTTTGAAGAGATTTTCTCGGAAAATTGGTCATAGTCGATCGTCTTAGCGCGTTTTCTTCACTAACTCTGATTTCGCCGTCTCTGATAGCGACGAATAAGAAAACAAGAAAATGCAAGCCGAATGTCTATTAGGATGAACTTTTCCTTTTCTGTTTGCTGTTTGAGAGATTTTATATGAAAATCGATAGAACTTAGTCTTCCGGCGATTTGTCCGCTCTGATTTCTTCTGGACTACTTCTCTTCTCCGGCCCGCCCTAGTTCTTTTCCTCAGGATTATAGGTATAGAAGAAGAAAATTAATGCGAGCCGATTTTCTGTTTGCTTTCTGAGAGATTTTCTCGGATAAACGATGAACTTTGTCGTCCGGCGATTTGTCCGCTCCGATTTCTTCCGGAATCTTTCTAACTTCCGTCCCTGGTTTCTTGCTCAGGATTTACGTGTTTTCTGCTGCATATGTGTGATTGACTGATTTGTAACTATTTACATCAAAAGTTTATTTTAAAAACATATAAATATAAAACTGTGACCTGTTTCAAAAAAAAAATAATAATAAAAAAGAAAAAAACTATAAAACTGTGACGGTCACGGGAGATAAGTTTTTTTTTATATATTTTTAAAATGAGTTTATCCAGTTTTTATATTATAAACCTTTTATAACATTTCTACTGTAGTTTTAAATATAGTTGTTAGGTGTCAACGTCAAACTAGACTGAAGGTAGAGCCAAAAAAGGAATGATGGAGTCTGAGAGCGAGTCAATTACTCAATTGTCCCACTTTAGTTAGCCCAAATTCAAATATATATATATATATATATATATATATATAAATAAAATACTAATTCAGATTTTAAAGTTTTCCATTTAATTTATTTCTTGAAATTCTTATGATTGAATGGCTATATATGTATAAATTTAGAATGTGAAGTTTTTGTCTCTTATGAAAATTTTTGGCTTGTGTACGTCACGTGATATGATTACAAATGAGGAAATAAGACAGAACACATTAATCCAGATAATTAATCTTGTCAAAAAACAAAAAAATTAAGATAATTTCAACGACTTAAGTACCCATATATAAATATGGCCTGGGTATAGAATGGACTTTAACCTTCAATATTTGTATAATTAAACAAATTATGTTTCTCAAAAAATAAAAATAAATAAATAAATAAATAAATAAATAAATAATTAATGTTTTCATCAGCTTAATCAATTAGAATTGATTAAGGCATACATTTTTAAACAATAGGTCGAAGATTCAAATTTTCACTACAACATGTGTGGGAGAAGATTTGAGTTCATGACTTTTTGATCGGAATACATGCCTTAACTATTTAGTTATATTGCCTCGAGTTTATATTTTTCTAGAATCCATTACTAAATTATGTATATTATCTTGAAAATTAAGAAAGTGTGATATACCTTACTAATTAATCAATTATTAATGTCGCGGTACTAATTCAATCGTGAGGGAATTTGTGTTGTTTCAAATTCCCACCCTACCAAAAGAAAAGGAAGAAAAAAAAGCCCTCATAGGTTCCAAATTTGTTGTGGGCTTATTTATATTTTGGTTTCGTAACATACATTTCATATTTTTGAGTGACTGTTCTGCGTTTTGAACCAAAATTTTTAAGTTATTTGACCAACTATTTTTTAAAAAAAAAAAAAGAGAAAAAGAAAAAGGAGAACCAAATTCCTACATCAATAGCAGCCCTATCGACAAGGACGACTTCCTCACTACCCGATCCAGAGTATTAACTTTATCAGAAGAACCTGTCACATAGAGAATTGAACTCTTTTTTTTTTTTCTTTTGAGGTTTAACATTCTACGGTAAAGATAAGATAGAGGAACGATGGGTAGAAAGGATCCATCTGACAATGGAAGAAGGAACTGCATGAAAATACTTTAGGACTTGGACCACACAAACAACTATCTCTTAGGAAAACAAAGAATTTCCAAGAAAAGACAAGAGAGCTAAAATATTAGTCATTTTATTGTTAGATAAAGGGTAATGAAAACCAAGAATAGGGGTAGAAGAAATCCCGTAAGAGAGTAGAACATAAAGGATAGATGATACAAGCATGGAAATAAAGAGCAGACAATGAGCCTTTCACGCTTCTATTCGTTTCCCCATCTTTGCCTTCTTCCACATCTCCGCCCTCTTCTTTCCTTTCCTTCCATTGAAACTCACTATTTGTGCTTACTATTTGTCCTTCTCTATTGCCTCTTCTTCTCTAATTCCACGCATGTGGCTTCGTCTTCTCCTATCTTTCCATAAATGGTCGTCACATGATTTTTTCCATCTCTGCATTCTTTTATATTTCATCTCTCTACCTCCTTCCTTTCTGCTAAAACCTTTATTAAAAAAACTTTCAATTTTTCTGCTCTCTCCCTCCTTACATGTGTGGATTTGTTTTCTCGAATCTATTATATCAATTTTAAACTTTGCTTTGAATTATTGTGAATGGTTTGATTGCATTTAAAATTGGATTCGTGCGGCAACTCATGGAAAAAACAAAATAATAAGAAATTAAAATTAGAAAATTCAAGAATTAAAGAAATATTAAATTCAAAATATATGGATTAATTAAGTCCTACGCGACAAGAATGGACTCATAAGATGGGCGGTCAGGGAAGCGATTTCAGCCTAATACGCCCGGAACTATGGCACCGAAACGGGTCTGCGGGCCGGACTCGAAGAGGAGAGGGAGGGTTCATCCTTTTTTTTGAAAGCATTGAGTTGGGCTTGTCTAAAATGCACATGAATGCCCTCTCAAACAAGTTGTCAAAAAATTTAACATTGTATTAAGGGTTGGAATTCACTGAACAAGTAAAAGCTACACAATCCTCGACCTCAAACTCATATTGCGCAAACTTGCCCTCTAAACACAGGCTACCTAAAAATCTAGGCTACACAACTCTTCTAGGTCTACACACAAGCTTAAAATATACATGCCAAACATCCTTTGATGTCTAAAAGTTTTAAAGTTTTCTATTAAAAAAATAGTTGATGTGTTTTTAAATGTAAGTATTTCCAATTTAATTAATTGATTTGCCTTTTCTTTGGGAACATGAAATAAGTGTCTTTAACTTGAGTTATGTTCAGGTGGATAATAACGTACTATTATTTAATTGATTTTTGCATCACTCCATGTCGCACTCAATTCTGAAAATATTATTTGTTGTATAGAGACCAAAACGAACGTCTTTAGAAATCAAAATAGATGTTTTGAAAGTATAGAGATCAAAATAAACTAAAACAAAGTATATTAGCGGCAAGAGTAATTGAATTATTTTAATAGTATATTAGCGGCAAGAGTAATTGAATTATTTTAATAGTATATTAGCGGCAAGAGTAATTGAACTATTTTAATAATAGAGGAAAAAATAAGATGAAATACATGCTAAAAGTAACTAATAAAAAATGTTGGACAATACATAAATAATTAATAACAAAATAATAAAAATGATGGACAATACATAAATAACGAGTAACAAAATAAGAAAAATGATGGACAATATATTAATAATGAGTAACAAAATAAGAAAGTAAGGTTCAGCCATTGGATTTCTCATCTCCATTGATGCTAGGAACGATGTACAAAAATTTACTTAGAAACAACGCTACAAAAATTTACTTAATATAGAACCATGCAGATCTAGATTTTAGACTACCCTTGTCTCCATCGAGCTTCAGATAAAGTAGCCTATAAACTCATTGCTTCATTTACTGAGCTTACTTTTTTTTATATATAAGAATGATGCAACTTAGGAAATAAGAAAATACTGTTGATAAGAATCTGCCTTCAAAAGATACAACTAAAGCCTTTAAATAGGAGAGAAGCAGGAGAGAAGCAGGAGGCTAACGGTAACTACTAGTTTACTAAAGGGTAAACTAACAGAATTAAAAAGGCTTAAAACCCTATACAAGCTAACAACCCTATGCAAGCTAAGTTATAACAGTTTACTACATCAATTTCCCTCTCTCCAAAAAGAAACTCGACCTCGAGTTTAAGAGGCTAACACAAATGAATCCGGAGCAGCATATGGATGAATGTCTGCAACATTGAATATTGGACTGATGTTGAAATCTGAGGGAAGTTGAATTTTATAAGCATTTGGGCCGTATTTCTTCAGGACCTCGAACGGACCAAATTTCTTTTTCTGCAATTTATGAGCACAACCAGCTGGAAGACGACCTTTGAATAGGTGGATCATAACAAGGACTCCTTCCTTGAAGTCTTGGGCACGTCTCTTAGTATCAGCCTTCCTTTTGTATTGATCATTAGTTTTTTCAATATAGTCGTGGACGTCCTGATGCAGTTTTGTGATCCTTTCGGCCATATGTGCAGCTTCCATACTGAAATCAACAGAAGAGGGGATGTTAGCTAAGTCAACGGTTAGACGAGGAAGCTTAGTGTAAACTATCTAAAATGGTGACTTCCCCGTGGATCTATTCCGCATATGGTTGAACGCGAATTCTGCCTTTGCAAGAGCTGCATCCCATTGTTTAGGTTTGTCACTGCATAGACATCTAATAAGATTCCCAAGGGTCCTGTTTGTCACCTCCGCTTGGCCGTCAGTTTGGGGGTGATTTGTAGTACTATATTTGAGAGACGTGTCAAACTTCTTCCAAAGGGTCTTCCAAAAATGACTAAGGAATTTAATGTCCCTATCTGAGATAATAGATTTTGGTATTCCATGGGGACGAACAATCTCTTTGAAAAATATATTGACAACGTAGACCGCATCCGAGGATTTTTTGCATGCTAGGAAATGTGTCATTTTGCTGAAACGGTCAACGACCACCAAAACCGAGTCGAAACCGCGTTGGGTTTTGGGTAATCCCAAGA